TACCCTGTTTTTTGTTTGAAAGGGATACATTTAAAAAACAAACAAAAAAGCAACAGTGTTATTGAAAACACACTATTTCAGGTGTGAATTCACATGATCATCTAATATCTTGCCAGTACCAGCAAATGCTGTCTCATTTTAACCCATTTAAAAACAAGTTCAAAGTGTATGGCTCTGCACTGATTATTTGCCTGGTTGGAAGCCAGCAAGAAACTTCTCCTGCGACTAGAGGAATATCCTATCCTGCAGACAAAGGAAGCAGTAAATTACTGCTATTAAAATATTGTACAGTAAGAAAACTCAAAAACTACATTTATATGGCCTGTACGAAATGAATAGACCAGACAGCCACTAAATAAAGTAGATTTAAGGTTGCCATTATCTTTATATTGTTTGATTCTTTGTATTATGTATAAATGCTACTACATCAGACCATTTTTTTCTCTATTAAAAAGCAGCAGATTTTAAAACATAGCCATATTAACTGTGTTAATCCACTGCTTTCATTGCTACATCAAGAAAAGGTTGATTTTAAAAATCTAACTTCTTATAAAGATCTATCAGCTCTCCTCAGCTGATAGGAACTGCTATGGTTCCACCACAGCCTACAGAGCCTTTTACCAGAGAAAGATAGGGTCCAAAAAGACTAAAGTTGATATGTATGATAAATTACATGGACTGCTGGCTCAGGCTCCGAGAATAAAGCAGCCTACTGACAGGGAAGACGAAGAGCTCTCTTACCCTGCAATGCTGATCCCATCACATGGCTTGCTCTGAGCTGGCCAGCACTTCCTTGCCTCCCAGACTGGTTACAGGACAAAATGGACTGCTACCAAATTGGAAATACATGCAGAATGCCTGCAAAGGATCCCTTGCTCTATGTAGGCTTCTTGCGAGGAGCAGCTCCAAAGAGAATTAGGGGTTTGGTGACCACCCTGCAGGTCACCACCAGTGCATGGGCCATCCTGGATGGAGGAGCAAAGGCAAGAAGTGCGTGAGACATGCTGACTGTTTGGCCAGCACGGGGTGAGCTCCAGATCAGCGTCATGGACTGAAACCACATGAGGGAGCTGGAATGGGAGGAGTGGTGCTAATGGAGATCACCAGGCATGAAGCCTGCAGCTCTGGGCTGCTCTTTCAGATTGTCATTCAGGGAAGGACTGGTGGAAGGGCAGATCTCTGTTTGGTTTTGGTTTGGGTCTGTGTGAAGCAATAAAAACCAACCCACAGTGCACAGAATGCCTTTCCATATGTCATGAGAGACTGTAGCCTCATACTTATATAGGTGTGGCACTCCTGTTCCTATCACCAACAATTTCCATTTGGTCAAATCTGGAAAACATCCCGAGTAATACAAGAATGAATTTTTCTGTATATTTCCAATAAATATTTCCAATGCTGTCTTTTGGCAAAAAAAGACATCGAGAGTTACTTGGAAAAGGAAGGCACAGCAAAGAGATGTTTCAGTTATCTTACAAACAAGCTGCCAAAATGCAAAGAGCAAAATCCAAGCAATACAAGTAATTCTTTGCATTTATACCACCATAAGCTAAGTGGAGATCGGAACACTGACCAACCACAACTACCTTTTAATTCACTTTCTAGAGTGCAGCTATAACAAAATTCAACTCAAAACAGCCTTGTAAAGCTGTTTTTACACACATCTTGGAGCCTGGTCTACTCTTGCAGCAGGACTTGACTGCACGAAATAAAGCCCCATGAGGTGCGACAGCTCTCAAACAGCGGATTCAGTGTTTACCCCTGGCATTTCAACTGATGTCAGGGTTATGAAATTTGCACATATGCACCTGGGTACTCACAGGACACATCTGCAGTGAATCATGCCAATTTAAACACCCACAGCCAGGGCAGATAGTTAAACTGTCCATACTTATTCAAACATTTTCATTGTCCAGCTAAAAGCTCCAAAATTAAATACAGTTTCTGAAGACTTTATTTATGACATAAGCTTCTTTACTTATTTTGGCAATTATCTAATAGATGACAAAGTATAAGTTCTGTTTTGTATCAGGCTGTGGTTCTTTTAAGCTCAGAGCAATTCTAACATTATATTAAAGACTTCTCAGTCTATGACTTTAGGTTCCCTGTTCTACTGAGAGAGGGATTAAATCCTCTATTTTTATGTTGGTATACTGCAGTATTCAAGAACGTGTTCTTGGAAAATGAAAGTAATAGAGACAAATGTGAAGTTACCACACTGTTTCCAGCACAAAGCTCTCCCACTGACTGCCCAAATCTATCACTGTCCAGTATTGGGAGGGACTTTATATGAGCTAGTGCCACTGGAAGTGGGAGGACACAGATGGGAATAAGTAAGGGGTCCCAATGTCCTGTAGAGGGGACTTGTTTAAAGTCTGGCACAAGTCAAAACCAAATCAACCAAGGACAACAAAGTAAAAAAACACCTTCCTGCTTTCCTCCACATCTCTGATTATAGAACACTTTGCTCCAATTTATTTCACTTTGGAAACAGCCTCTTACAGCTGCAGATGGCAAGTACTTACTCAGCTAGTGAGCAAAAAGAAGTTGGAAAGAGTGAATATTAATGGAGTGGGTTCTGATGGGGAAAGAAAAAAAAAAAAGAAGGCAGGCCAACATCTTCCATGGATTAATAGCAACCGCGAGCCAATCTTCCCCTAAACAAACAGGGAGCATGTTCTACAGTCTCCTTCTCAAAAGGAAACTGCGTGACCAGACCAGCTGCTGTGGCAACCTGGCTGTCCTACATCCAGTGCCATGGCTCAAGCCACACTCTAAAGCTGGTAGATCCCACACATTAAATCAGAGTCTCTGACTGAGTCACTGACAATTAAACAAAAGCAATTTCATTCTGCTATCTGCATTTTATTTTACTTATTTATACTCCATCCATTGTTGTGTTCTCATACATCAAGGTGCTCCAAGGCAATGCATCGCACTACAGTAACATCAGGGTCACATCTAGCTGACTGTGCATATATCCTCCCCACACAGGGTGCCCAAGGAGCAGCTGATTTTTGAGATAATTTGCCTCCATGCAAGAGAGCAGATTTAGCCAAGCTCCTGATGGTATTCAGAATGCAGGTTTTGTTTTTTTTTTTTGTCTAAAAAGTAATAGTTCAGTAATAGTAAAGGTATTTTTGGCATACCACACCTGTAAAAAAATACCCCCACGAAACCAAGAGCAGCCACATACTATCCATTCAATAACTGCATTTCCTTTTTAGCACATACTTAATTGGCAGGTCCTCTTACTCCATGTGACTGTTCAAATTCATCTTCATTTATGCCAATCTACCAATCAGAGGAAAAAGCTTCAGGCTGGTCTACACAGGGCAGCTGCCCTGACATAGCAGGTATTTGTGGTTGGCAGACAATTTCCCCTTTAATTTCTTTTAACAAGAGTGGCTGTCCCAGTTGTTAAACCCTAGCTTAAGTTAGCAGCACACTTGCTGTTTTTGAGACCAAGTTTAGCAGATGGCACACTTAACCAATACTCCTAACATCTCGTTTCCAAGACCAGAATTAGCAATTAAATGTAGAGTTAAGAATCACTGCAAATCCGAGGCCATAAGCTTCTAGCAAAAAGAATGCTTTTTCAGAACTCATATGCAGAAACTCAGCAAGTTTTTGAATCTGGATCAAATCCACAGCTGGAAGGAAGCTTTGTGTTGGTTTTATCAGGTCATAAGATGTTATTACTCTCATAAAGCCTACATTCTCTCGTCAACTGCAGTTCTGATGACTGAAAATCCTCAAACAAGTGATTTTGCAAGGATCACCATTTTCTTCTATATCTGTCAAGGTGCCTGTTATGTGAGCCAAGTCTGCAGTCAAGTGCTGTTTCAGGTTAGCTCTGATCCATCAGAATTTGCCACTAGGAAATTTTGATCAACACTGACCAATCTGGTTTTACACAGCCAGCATGAAAGTGAAGTTCACCATCAGTACCAGAGTTTTGAGATCCATGATAAAAACGAGCTGTTCTCTGTCTTTCACTCAAGAAAGCAGTACAGCCTGGCTTTCCAGGTTTATTTCATCTCCCTTTCATACCAGGAGCAGACCTCATCAGCTGCTAGCGATAACTCTGTACTCTCTCACAGTACACAATAAACTCACTTGAGCTAGTGTTGCTACGATGGAAAGAGCAAAATCTCAAGAAACTCAGGAGCAGCATGACACCTGCCCTCCGTAGAAAGTGGTGCATGGAATATATTGCATCATGCATATGATTCAACCTTCACTGTCTTCAAAATAACTAACCAGCTTTCATCAATAACGAGCGAAATATAAAGTTAGCCAACAAGTAGACTGAAATACAGGCTGGAAGAGGGTACATATATATCCTTCCTCTTCCTCTGAACCACAGTACCACTCCTGGCAGGTATTTGTTTCTCTTCTTGTTAAAAATCTCCAGTGACAGAAATTTTGCAATACCCTTCAGTCATCTATTATAGCACTGTGTTAGCTGTGGGGCTAGTGAAATTTTTCCCAGTATCTCATCTGTGCAGATTTCAAATGTAATGCTATTTTTTCTAGAAAAGGACAACTACAGATTCACAGTGCCTGAGCAAACCATATCACCCAGCAGCAGTCCCACCTGTGAAACCTTAAAACCTTCCACTGCTAGCCCTGTGCCACTGGATGAATAAAAAGCACCAGATGACTAAAGCTTGTGGATTTGGTGGAAAATTGGAATAACCTAAGGCACTTAAATCTGACATTAGGAAAGGTGTGCCACATGGGATCACATCAGTAAACTGGCATTGCCATTAATTCTGCCATGCAAAAAAATGACTTTTGCAAAGAATGAAATTTTGCAACTACCACATTCTAAGCAGACACTTTTAATAGTACTTATGAGATGGTTCTATGCCTTCTGACTGTAATAGGCATTTCACAGCCTGGAGAATACACATGCTGGAGACCTGTTTCCCACACTACTACTCACGCAATAACACTTCCCTGCTCCTTCCCACTTAGATCCCAGGGCTCTGTACCTCCTCAGAAGCTGGAGAGATGCTTGGGCAGAACACGAGGCCTGACAAACTCACTCCAGAATGCACCTTCTGAAGCTGATTAGATCACAGGAACATTTCCAAAGCTGTACATTCCTGCAAGGAAGAAAAAAAACATCCATAACATTATTAATTGCAAATGGTGGGGACCATGAAGCCTGAGTGCATTTCTGCTGGGCATTTCCCTGTGTAGGTATGAACTCTGCATGAGAGCTGGCAGTGTCTGAAGAGGAAGCTGACTCCATCTAAAGAGGAAAATAAAAGTAAAATATACTGACTGTGCTCTCAGGATCAGTTCCTGAGACAAAAAGGCCCAATTCGTTTTCAAACAAATTTGAGATAATTGCTTTGACTTCAGCAGAGCAAAAGCCACTACAAATAGTGGAATAGTGGCCTAAAAATGTATGTGGATGGATATGGTGGGAAGACTGGAGTTACCTACTGCTCCTCTTAAAATAGCCATGGTTTGTCAACCAGCATTGTAAGGAAGAGACTTCTACAGTTTAAGCTAGAAAAAAAATGCATGCAAAAGCTGAAACAAGTCAGCTAAATAAAAGTAAAAGCAACCTCCTTCAACCTCAGGATGGTTTTAACAGCTAACTACAGAAATGATTTGCAGAACTTCCATTCAAGTGAGGGGGAGGGAAGGGGATGGCCGGCAAGATGTCTGTGGAATGTACTGCAAACTATGCTGTAGCAAAAGACACTGTAAGGTACTTAATAATAAACAGCAAAACAACCACCGAGTCAGTTTAAAGGAAAGTATAAGAACAGTAACTGCTCAGCATTTTATTGATTTACTTACATTTAGAGATCAAAGTCTCCAGACTCCAATTCCTCAGTGGTATGAAACTCATGCCTACACTGTGTGGTGAAATAAAACCCACGCCGGGAGCCTACTAAAAGCTGCCATTACAGTTTGGGTTTGCATGAGCTGGCATTGCACACCTTAACTCATACTTCCCCCTCTGCAGAAAAGGACAACGCAGTGCTGTGGGCCCGCGTGTGCCATGGACATGAAGCCAACAGTGCAGTGCAGTCTGCCAGCTGATGGCGAGCAGAGCTGGCTGGTGATTAAAGTGGCATCGTGAGTGCTGTTTGTTCCATTTATTTGTGGATTTAAGGGAACTTTAAAGCTTCAGTTAGATGAAATCAACTACCTCAGAACTACTAAGTTTTATACTAATACTGCCCAACGGAAAGAAACCAAAATAAATCATTAAAAAAACAACATACAGAAAAAGGAACGTTCCTTCCATAGATGTTATGAACACGCGCGCGCACACACACACACACACACATCCCCATTCCTCCTTCCTTCTGAACTACAGTGAAAGAGCAGTTTTATTTTCCTGAGCACAGAACTTGTCCCCATCTGGTTCCATTTTTTACTGCTTTCTTCTTTTGGTTTCCTTCTCTCCCATTCCAACCCATATTTACTTCCTTTTGTTTAGTCTGTACTCCTTATTCCCTCTTCTCTTTTTGCAGATTTCCTTTTTAATTTGTTTGGGAAAAAAAAACATTCTTGCCCTGATTTTCTTAACGCAGGCTGGTGCAGGGGGCCCAGCAGGAGCCCCCTTTCCCATGCCCTTTCCCTCTTGTAGTCCTGGCTGGGCTTCTCTTAGTACAAGGTGTGAAGCTGAGGGCTTCTTTATTTAGAAAAGCGGACCAGTCTACTTTTGAATTCAATTTCAAACACCTAGTATGAACCACTGTGTGGAAGGTCAAATAGATTATTTACAAGCCATTGTATGTAGTTTAAAACAACTCCTAATCTGTATGAGATGAGCCACTATAAAGCAGGATTAGGTTGAAATTAAAACGTCTGCAGTGGGATTTTATTAAATTGGTTTTAAATTACATTCTTAGTAATACAAAGCTGAAGATTAGAAATCTTAATAGAGCAGAAAGACCGCTTTGGGACAGAACTGTGGCACTCCTTACAAATCATGCTAGGTTCACAGAAGCAGAGGGGCCCAGCAAAGGCCAGAGACTGCTGCTTGCAAAACTCTAAAGCTCAAAACTTAACAGTAAGGTCCACGAGGCTGCCCAGACACCAGGCCCTGCTATTTCCAAGTAAGAGCATCCTTGTCCCTGATGAGGGCTACGTGCACATCCTGTGCCACTTCCTCCACCCCCACACTCTGCCAGGAGCACGTGCACCTGCACTGGGCTGGGTGGGGGTTCTCACTTGTGGGACTCAACCCATCTTATGATCATTGCTATAGTGCCCATGAAAGCCGGCACCACCTGGTCTAACCAGCCTCATAGGATGAAGGACAGTGTTTTTGCTGAAGTTTATAGGAGGAAAGATTTCCTTCTTTCATTCATTTCCAGGGATCTCCCCCATTAGCATGATAAAGATGAAGAGCTGCGTAGTAAACTTAGCTAAACCTCCACCGCGAGGTTTATTTCAAACTCTGTAAAGTACTACTAAAATACTCTGTAATTTGTCGTCAGTAAGTTTATCTGCTTTTTAACTTTCACTTCAATTTCATGCTCAGCAATTTTAATTAATCACATTTTTTCAGTAATAATTAAAAACAATGAATACATTTCTACATAGGGTACAAAAGCACATCCCTCCGAATGTGCTCGCCGTGAGTGTTCCAAGTGCTGCAGCAACAAACCAGTGCCATTTTCTGCCCAACACAGGGGGCTCCCAGGCCAAAAAGCTTCCAGCACAACAGGACTGAGATAAACCTCCTCAACAGATACCACAAAGAATGAAAAAAAGCTTTAAAAAGAGAATACATCAATAATATCAAATACAACAGCTATAAACTCACTACCAGCCAAAATGACCCAAGTTCCTGCTATAATGAAAAATATTAACCTGTTAAAAAATAAACGAAACAACCAGTCATCTGTTGATTACCTCGAAAACTTGGAAAAGCCAGAGAGATTCTTTGTATTTCTACGAGGATTCAGCTCCATGCTGCCATCAAATAGCAAGGCAGGCTCCCAACTTCTCACAAACTCACAGAAAACCTTCTTCCTATTTTTGCCTGTGTAAGGCCCTGCTGCAAAGTCCACCTTGCCCGCCAGCTGCTAACACCAGTGCCTTGCTAACCGCTTCTTAGCTCCCCACTCCACCAAAACAGTGAAAATCCACACGTGGACCCCCCCCCCCTTAGGATGGTTAAAGGGCATTTTAAAACGACTAACCTGTGCCATTTGAATTTGGTGGAGGTCACAGAGCTCTGAACTTCCCCAGTCGCTTCGATCTCGTTTCCTGTAGAGCAGCACATGACCCTACGCTTCCTCACCGCACCTTGCTAGACTTGCTTCATTTACTTTTTAAAACCCAATGAAGAAGCCGTCTCCTACAGCATGCTTAAAAGACTTCTGCTCCCATGACATGTCAGTGCCGAACCATTGACATTTCTACATATGCAGAAAGAGCCCTCCTCCGTTTCCTTCTGAGTCACTACACGACTCAATGGCCCTTTTTGTACTAGTTCTGTGTATTAACACCAAATCCTAAATGTGATTCTATTACAGTACGTTCAACTCCCACCTCTCTCTTTTTAAAGAGGAAAAAACACGCAACAATGGAGAATGTAATTATGCTGAATGCATGGGAAATTTTAGTCCAAGGCATTCATTTACCAGGCTGTCAAGTGGGTAAAGTATTGATGTATCTACTTTGAATAGTTGCAGTCAGTATAAATTTTTAGAAATATTTTTCATTACAACCCGCAAACAATTTTCATAGGAGTTTCAGTCCTATGGGAAAGGGTTTATGACTTCAGAAAAGCAAAGATTCTCTTCTCAGCAGTATGTATCTACATATTGTCATCTAAGGAGGAGACAAATGGATCTGAACATAGGTCATGAAAAGATGGGTGGTAAACTCATGGATCAGATGAGTACATTTACAGAGTTAGTCAATAGCTGGTATTTTAGCAGATGAAGCAGATCAAGGAACTGTGTAGCCTTCAGAAATTAAGACTCTTTGATTTTTCTTTTTTAATCCCTGGAATCATCACTGCCAGTCAGCAGGGAACAACTGCTGGCACAAAACTGGCTGCAACCCCACCAGGCTACAACACAAACCCACAGAAGCCCAGAGCAAACCAACACAGGATACTTCTGTGCATGCTGTTTGGTGCATTTTACGCAATTTCTAGGTACGTGATGAGATTCCCACTGAAAAATGTCATCTTCTAAATTCAACTGCATCAGATGAAGACCTGGTTGTTGTGAGCAGCCTCCGGTGACCATCAACCAGTGTTCACCTCCTGGCCCACTCTCCATAGGCTTCTTGCTTCAGCCAAACAAGTCAAGTGAGCTCCAATTCCTTTTATGTGTGGTTAACGTGACTAGTTCTGATGGAAAATGAGAGGGAACAGCTTGCAGGAATCCTCCTCCCCACAGAGAGGTGGGAGGAGCAAGCTGCAGCAAAGAGACAGCAACACGCAGTGGGACTTCACAGGCTGCCAAGATCTGCACTTGTGCTACAACAACCATCGACAATCCCAACTTCCCTACAAGCTGGCAGATACCATAGAAGATATAAATGAACGTGGAGGGGCAAACTCCAGAAAGGAGAATATCTGTCTAGCATAACAAGGTTTTCCAGTACAAGCATCTCAAGTTTAAGGACCTACTGCAGCTACATATTGCACAAATCACATCTGCCTAATAAATGACATGTATTTTAAATGCAGATATGCAGGGGAAACTCTCACGAAAGGAAATACACGAGTGAAAGAAGGACTACTCCACGAGATAGGTGCTCCCATGTGACACTTTGCCTACTTGTGCATGCACCTCTGAGCTCCCGTGGTTACAGCCCGAGTGCATGTACAGATGTGTCTACAGATGCACCTGCTCTGCCCCAACTTTACAACTTTGGGCCAACTGGCCAAAGAGAGATGAGGGTATTATTTACACTGCAAGACACTTGAGAGCACTGTGAGATGCATGCAGCTTAAGCACTTTCTGGCACTGAGCACTCAGAGCTATTATATGCCAGACCCTAGGCTTCAGAGGCACAGAGGGGAAGTTGAAGAGTTCAGGAAGTTGCTGTGTTTGTTCACAACACACTGCTTCATTGTACTTGCCTTCAGCTGCTCGCCCAGCAGCTTCTGGGCTAACAGTTGTCACTGACAAGAGAGTTTATTGCTCCTTTATTCAAGGGGCTATGTTTACAAAATCACTTTTAACTTGTTAACGCTGCATGAGGATCATGACATATACTGCACCATGCCAGAGCAGTGCTTGGAGCCTCTGATGGGGGAAATATAGCCCTGGATACCCCCTCCACATTGTTCGAGATGCAGGGAATGCACTTTCTCAGTGAGCAACTCCTAGCCACCTCCTTTTTAAGCCATGCCCAAAGAGTCCTCCAAGATCACCTCAGCCAGAGCTCTTCAGCATGGCTCCATGGTCTCCACAGGGGCTGCACACAGCAGATGTGTGACACCTGGGCAACTTGCCAAGCCCACACAGCCCCCACAAGGCCTGTTCTGGTAAGCTTCTCAGTGCCTGGACCACCAGGGACTCCAAAGGATCTGTCAGCTCTGACTGCTGAACACTGCAACAGGAAGGGAGGCATCTAAAGTCCTCTATTCATCGGCCATTTACTTCCCTGTCCTTGTCATAGATGAGCAATCTGTTGACTGGCACCTTTTGGAGCACTGTAGCTCCTCTGGGATTTTTGGTAGCTATATTAGGTGGTAAGCCAATTGCTTGTAACTGATGCGGGATCACACTTCATGTACACACAAGACAAAACCACTTAATCTTCTGAGAGGAAAGCCCACCTGAACCTCTTCCTTTCACACACCTGGGTGACTAATGAAAATGTGCCTGTAACATTGTAAATGGCAAAAGTTGCTTTCAAGGCTCTAAATTGACTCCCCATCACTTGTGACTGAATCAGTGTTTGATTTACCAAAAGAGGACCACCCCAGCAGCAATAGTAAGTTGCACAGTGGCCTGACAGATGAACTACACCAGGATGTTAATGGTTGTGGCTGTAGGGCCTTTTACATAGGTAATTTACTGTCCGGTGCCAGCTATGGGGTTTAGAAAGCAACCATGGGCTCTGAAGTTTTGGGTTTAGATTAGAAATATGCATAGCTACATCTCAGCACATTTGATGATTCTTGTCCAGGTGATACAAACTAATGGAGCATGCTAAACACCACAGTTCAAACTCATACACATTACTGGCCTTACAAAAATGGGTGCTATTTGTTATACGGAATCTCACCTCTCTCACTGATGTGGCCATATCTGTACACACACACAACAGTAGATAACTGTGAAGAATGTTTTCCATCTGGTACCTGTCACCAGCAAATACAAGCTATTAACGTCCCAGTGACTGGCCAATACAATCTGTACTGCTCCTGACCTCGAGCGGGCATAACACCTGCGAGCACAAGAGTACATAGTCATACGGAGCTACTAAAACAACTACAAAAAATCCCAAATCTGCTTGCCAAATCACAAAAGCTCAGCAGTAACACAGAGGTGTTCAAACTTCAAAGCAGGAGCACAGTCAGCAAGAGTTTGTTGAAAGAATTACAACCAGGCATGGAAACTGGGACTTCTCAGTAGCATGTAATCCCTGCTGTTTCCATTTCCTCTTCCTCATTATCAGCACAGACGGGGGCTGAAGATTAGTAAACAGTGGGTGTTTGGGGTGAATTAGAGCATGTGTGATATAGAGCTCGCTATCCTGGTGGCATCAGCGTGACTTCGCAAAGAGATGTAAATATTTAATGGTGCCCACTATGCCTCTTCAGAACTATGGAATATTAACACGTTCCTTGGAGGTAACAATGATGGAGGAATCTTACCAGATTTAAAAAAAACAGACTCCATCTTGACCTTCATCTAGGACATGAACAAAGTCTTACAGCCAAAACTTCTCTCCTCCATAGCTGTCTGTGGAGAAGATGAAGGCTTTTCACATTGCTCCCGTCCTGTCTAAAACCAGAAACAACAACTCTGGGACAAAAACCACAATGTAACGAAATTCCCTTCTCCTGAATAGAAGAAAAAAGCGTTATCCAGCGTAATTCCAGTGTAATCTTCATAGGTTTCCAACCTGCTAGGGTATTGGGTTTTTGTGACCATTACACCTAGGCAAGCAAACTAGTAGCACAATTAGAAATTATTCTACTTTTCTTTAAGCATTTACTTTTTAAGTGGATTCTCCTCTTTGCCTACTGCCATACGGAACAGTCTTAGAAAAGATTCTCTCTTCTCACACCCAAAATCTGATTTCAGCTGTCATTTTAGGTATTAAAATGCCATTACCATGTAACAAACTAACCAAGAATAATACTTCCCTATGTTGATGTATTAGCAATTTTGAAGAGGAATCTGAAAAAGTAGGAAAATCCTGAATTATTTTTTCTGCTCTTGTTCTCAAGTCTACACAAAACTAACAGCTGTGTATGAGAGATATTATGTATTCAGCTATTGTCCTTGCTTGCCACAGGTTATCCTTTCAGAAGACAGCCACGTAAATAAAAGCCATTAGTAAGAAAACACAACATGCCTAGAAACGCCTACTAATTTCTTGACTTGAGTGAGAACTCCTGAATTGACAAACTGTGCTCTCAAAGTGATTTGCTCGTCCAGCTCCCAGTGCCCCTGGCAGTACTGATATTAACGGACTCCTGAGGAAGAGTCCTACTCTGCTTCCTTAATTAGGATAAGGCAATCACAAGATACATTGTAAGAAGATAACTATTTCGTAGAAGTTTCATCATATCACTACAGAGAATTCAAACAATTAGTTTGTTCACAGGAACAAAAACAAAAAGCAAACTTCTATGAAAAGGAACAGTACTGCTGGCTGCTTGTAATACTCGATTTCACATAATACCTCATTTCTCAGTTTGTGGCCTTTTTACACAATAACCTTGAGACATGGTTTCCCTTAGACTTGATCAAAGAACGAGATTACACAACAGACACACAAACAGAAAACATTTGCAGTCTTTCCAAAGAGTATTTTCAACAATTCTTGCCCAGTAAAAGCTGCCTAGCCATTTTTCCAGAACAACGTATTACACCTCACCAGAGGCATGCCTACTGTCTAATTATCTCTTTCAATATATGAGCACTGTTACGATGGTTTATTATTGAGCAATTTGTCTTTAGCTATTAACATGAATTTCAAAGTTTATGAAGCTTCAGGTATGAACCATATGATGAAGAGTTTTTATATACTTGGTTATTTCAGTAGAAAATACTGTTTTAAAAACCACAGCTAAATTGAGTAATACTTTATACTCAACTTCCCATCAGCATTTGCACACACACACACGGGAACAAAGCAAAATAAATCTGTACTTTAGAAATAATGATCTACTACAACAGCCACACATTTTAAAGCTACAGAAACAGCATTTTTTGATGAGACCAGGTTTCCACCTGACATGGCCATACACTCTCAAAGTGTTACTTCCGTACCAAGTCTACATTTTCTCTTCAAGTGGGGAACCTCTCTGTGGAAAGCATTTAATGTCTGTAGCCTACAAGGTGCCTACATGAATTGGAGCTTAAACTATAAATTGAAGATTATTAAGATGCATGACAATTAAAACATTATTTTGCAAAAAATTGCTATTAAATTCTGAATTCTTATCATTTTTTTTTTTAGGGGGATTTTGCCTACTATTTTTAATTGTAAATCAAGACCCTTTTTTCTCCATCATCTGTTCAACACATACAATTATGAAAACCAAGCAACTAGTTTCATTTTTGAAAGAAGTCTACTACTTTCATCTCCTTTATTTCCTCCTTTACATTTGGAATGCTCATAATAGAAGCACTGAAAATTTGTTATTACCTACAAAATAGAAAGGGAGCTGACAAATAGCAGGCTAATACAGGAGTACTTACTGGCATTATTTCAGTGGAGTAAAGACCTGCATACAACATTATAGTAGCAGCATCCTACCCAAAGCTCATGCCTGCTTCTTTGTTTTGTTGTTTGTTTTTTAAGTAAGTCCTCACGAGCAGGAACTTTAGTCCATTTTTCACATTTTTCCCATGGGCGGTATTTTCCACATCAGGAGACTTTAGATGCCAAATATAGACACAGATCAGGGCTGTACATACTTGCTGGGTGATTATAAAACAGTACCCAGCTCCTCTGCTGTGTAGTGGATGAGACTTGTTACTCTTCGCACAGGTCCAAGTGCCAGCAGCTCCATACTGACCAGAGGTGTGCCTGAGTAAGGAGAACCAGACCACATCACATACAAACAAGATGGGATGATGGATTTTCCTTTCATTAACATTCATCCAAAAAGAATATTGTCCCAAGAATAAACAGGAGAAAGGGCTCAATTTATGAATGCATATACGCACTGCCATAATCTCAGTTAACTATCTGCTATCCCCAGGAAATAGTGGAGTTTATCACTATGAATGAGTAGAGCACTAGCTAAGCTAACAGGGAATTTCAGACTCCATGCGAGGCACACAGAGACGAGCCTTGAATCTGAAGCTCCCTGCTTGCTCAGGAAAGCCAGCGCTGCTGCTGCCCCTCACTTACATGCAATGGGCAGTTGCAGAGGCTGCATCCAGGAGAGCTCACTGTGCCCAGTGATCTTGGAGCCATCAGGGTGCAGCATCAAGTCCATCACCCAGCCGCTCCACAGTGCCTTCCAGTCTGAAGTTGCTCCTATTGATGTAATCCTATTGATTATCAATATTGATATCGTGCAATTACACTACACAGAAACTAACAAAAAACAGTGATGTTTATTTCCAACTCACCAGGCTTAGAAATAAATTGCTGATCTAGAAACTGGTCTCCCTATACTGCTATGGCCCAGCTGCTGTCAGGAGGCTGTACTGACCAGACATAAAGCAGCCCCCCTGTCTCACAGCAGGTATGGGGGTGCCAGCTCTCCTCACAGCTCACCATGTTAAGATAAGCTGGGTTTCTGAAGCCCTGACCATGGAGATCAGGACAAGCTCCCAGTTTCACTAGCTGAGAGTAAAAGCAGGGACAAGCAGTTTAGTGCTCTGGCTTGAAACAGCAGAAATCCCACAGGAGGCTATAACTGCATTTTTAATCACTTCTAGTCATTCTGGTAAAGCCACCTGCCTGTGGGCCACGTCCCAGCAGAGCCAGCCTGTCACAGAGCAGGAGCATCAGGCAGCACAGGGAGGTGATGCTGTGCACCATGGCACGCTGTGTGAGCCCGAAGGTGCTGCTGCAGCCACCTCCCGTGATGCCAGCAGGGGCTTGGCTATGGCAGCTGTTACACAGGCTGTTTGCTCCTGCTTCAGGTTCCACTGTTAGCAGTTTGGAGCTAGGTAAACTTTGTGACATATTTAACTTCAGGCCTTTTGCTGCTAACTGGGACAGTTCTGACTTTTAATGAGAAAGCTAGTATACTGCAGTGCTCTTGGGAATGCTGGTTTTGGAGACCTTTGAACACTCTTAACTACTTCCATAATTATATTTTTAAGAATAGTTAAAAAAAAGGTCCCTAATTTTACATCAGGCAGGATTCCCTAGTGACAGGGTTGGAGATCCTGCACTGGTGTGCATTACAGAAAACTCCAGTGCTACCAGTATCATATGCTCTATTGAGAAACAAAAGAATCAGGACCTGAATGTGCCAGAACTAAATACAGAGAAGTGAGACTATAAATGATGAAAACTTTACTGGATAGAGCTGAGGTGCATTGCATCAAATGTGTCTGCAGATTGCAGTTTCCCCCCTCCAAACAGTCATACACCACAGCGATAGCCCAAGCCCTTAGAAGAAAGATGTTGAGGCTGCAGGAGCTTTGCAGCAGGAAAAGTTATCCTGATTTCCAAAACTAAGCAGCCACACCAGCCAGAGGGAGCAGCACCACACACATGCCTCAGGGACAACAGCCTGTGGAGCCCAGGGAAGAGGTGCCCTGATGCTGCCAAGGGCAGTCCTGTCCCAATGGTCCTGTCCATCCTGCAGTGACCTCACATCATAACAAGGACACGACGGGACCAAGGAGTGCCACTGCCTGCCATTTCACAAGTTCACTGGTGGGGTTTTTTGGTCTCTCCTCACTTCCTAGGGCACAGAGTCAAGCTTAGCAATGAAATGGCAGTGGGACACTTCCTTATCTCTAGATAAAAGGAAGAAGGTAAAAATACACTATGTTCTTCTTACTTTCCCTTCTTGCAGGGTTTTTCCATTGTGTTTTTATCTGCTTCTGTGCATAGCTGACAGTGAAGGCCTTGGGAGCTGTTAAAACACCATAGTATACAGCATCACAACCACGAGTTCTTTAATGCCTAATCAGTCTCACTGATTAGCAAACAGACAGTGCGCAAACAGGCTTGCAAGAGGAATAAAAGCTCCCAGCCTAAGCAAAGAGCGGTGTTATACCACTTTTATTGTGAGCAACTGTAAACTCTGTTATTGCTCCTAAGAGGAAACTTTTCTGGCAAACTTTTGAAGTACCAAAAAGCAGAAGACAACGACAGTTCTTTCCCCTGGAAGCACAATGTCCCTTAGTGTTCTCATTTAAGTACTGTGCATGATGACATCCAACTGGCTTTTACCCTGCAATTCACTTGCATTATCAGGGGTGTTCTGCTAAACAACTGGCACATTTTAGAAGAATTAGGGAGGAACTTGTCCAGTTTGTCAGTTATGGAATATTCCATTTTCTAGTTCCCTATAGCAGCTAATGTCTTCCGCCAACTCCAATCAACACACACAAACATATGCACGAATGGAAAAGAGTAAGCTACTGTAAGTCTTGGAGATATCAAGCCTGCAAAGATTGCTAGGAAAAGCAAAACCAAAAGATGAGGAAGTAAGTATTGCTCTGCATTCTCGTAAGAAGGCAAGTAAGAGTAAGCATGCAGTAACTTTTCAGAATAAGATTCTTCACTTTGAAGAGCATTTAGAGAATTGAAACTTAAATTTCAAAATTCCACATTATCTGTTTCAATTAAGCATTCATAGTACTTCTAAAACAACCCTGGAACTGAAGAATGCCCTAAACCATATATTTAGAACAAAAGCAGAACCTGCACCTGAAAATCCAGTAGGAAAGTCCATAGGAGGATTATTTCCTTGTAGCTTGCTGCTCTCTAGTATTACACAAAGCTTTGGGACAGACTCCATTTAGATTTTCTGGTTCCAGTACGACACCACAGCTGCTATCAAGAAAAGTTGTATGCTTAAGGAATACCTTACTCTCACTTTCAAAGTAGCATCAGTCTGGGGTGGCTTGAAAGTGTAACCTGCAGACAGAGCAGGTGATACTCTGGTAGGTGCTACCTCTGTGGCCTCAGATGAACTATATTCTCTAACACTGACATACTTGCATATATTCCTTCCCAGGATATTGCTATCATTTAAATTTTATTTCATCCTACTAGAATAGAAAATGCATTTTTTTAATGTTCTGTAAAATGCATCCCTATCTCAGAAGTCCTGAATCTAAGGCAAGATGTACAACTATAAAAAACACCATGGAGCATGTAACTGAATGGAGATGCAGAGAAAAAGGTCAATACATGGAGTCATGCAAACTCACTATGTGCATGACCAAGGGCTTTGTTTACTTGCAACATACACAGAACACCCTTTATAGTTTACATTCGGTACTTCCTTTAAAAACTCCTTCAAGTAACTTCAAATGTGAAAGTAAGGAAGAAAATTCTCTGTCTTTCCCTGCATGGAAATACAAAACAAACAAACATTTGTCCAGAGAAGGCTCTCAGATAACAGTAAAGTGCTTTGTAAAAGCAATCTGCCCCAGTCTGTAACAGTTACAATGCGAACAGGCTTGGTAGGGGCTGAGATGAAGTTCAGCTTGTACCCAGCATGCTTGAAGTTCCGTGGGGCAATGTGCAAGAGCTTCCTTGCTCTTGCACAGATTGCTGGAGATGCAGGACATCTCAGAACAGAACAGGAGACACTCCACTGCAAAAAGCCAAAGCTGGGATGAGGCAGAAGTTAGAGAGCCTGCTAAGGGCCCAGGAGCTGAGGCTAACAAGAAAGCCACGGGTCATGCAAACTGAAGGCAGCTGCTAGGAGAGGATGACCTTTAGGAAATGCCACAACTAAGGCTGTTCATGTGCTAGGCAAATCATGACCTGAGGAGAGCAGTGACTAAAGTGCCTGCTGTGGGAGGATCGATGAGATGGGGAAACGGAGGACTGCAGAACTTAGTACTGCCTGGCTGATGCAAAAGGGTTTCCACACAGTAAGTAAAGAATACTAGCTGTTTTCTAAGAACCATTTCCTAGGTAGGAGGCAGGGGGAGAGAGTAACCAATTCCTCCCCTTCCTCCAAGGAAATCCTTCCCTTTAAACACCTATAGCAATATAAAAGTGACCTAGCTGATGCTAGTTACAAGTCAGGCACCGTTCTGCACAAGCTGCTTGTACAAGGACAATCCCAGTTGGCACCAGTGTCCTGGGGCCCCGCAGTGCTGCCTCAGGCTGCTGCAGACCTGAGGGCTACGCTGATCACCCGGTGTAACTCAGAGGCTGCCAGACCATGAGCTCATGAGGCCCTATCCACTGTTCTCACAGCAGAGGTGGGGAGAAACCACCGATTTAGGGCAGTGAATCTCAGACTTCACTGTTCACATTGCTGCTTAAATAAATAAAAGAAGAGAATGGAAGCTCCAAACTCTTCCATTGCTTTCTCATTCCAGGGAACAGATCCGAGCCGCTACCAGAGACCAGAGTCTGGAGGGACACCCTATTTCCTGGAACTCATTTTACCATTTTTATTCCAGAGAATAAGTACAGTAAAAATAGCATGTTTTGCAGATTTGATATCACTGCATTCACCATTTTACAGTTTCTTGCCTACACAGGTCTTTCAAGCAGCAAAGCAGAGAACAAGACACGAGCAATCTGAAAACAAAAAAAAAAAAAATCAAAGCCTGGATCAGAGAGCTCATTACACAGTCTGTGACTTAATGCCCAGAACTGCAGTGGATTAAGTCTTCTGTATTCCCTGAAGGTTCTGTGGAAAGGAACTCATGCTGCTAACCAAATCCCATGTTGTGCTGACAGCGTTACAAACCCAGAGGCAGAACCCAGCTCTGCCAGCCTCGGGCCACCCACACCAACACACTCTCCTTCACAGAGACAGTTCCATGGCCAAGAGACCTCAGATTGCCAGCTGTGCACACTCCCAGTGTAAAGAAGCCTTCTCTAACACGGAGGACAGCTTGCTGTATGCAGCCACATCAGAGCATGGCTAACCTGTGACATGCCCCAAAGCCCCCACACCTGCTCTGCTCCTACTGCCCATCTCCTGGCCCAGACAATCCTGCTTTGTGCAGCTGGCAGCTCAGCTGTCAGGGATCAGCCCAACACAGCCCTCCTCACAGCCTGCCAACAACACACGTGCTAGCTGCACAGCACGCTGCTGTGACAACACAACAGCATATTAATGTACCTCATTTCTATGACTTAAAGGATTTCCCGACCTCCTGTGCCTGCTGATGCTCTCTTAAATAGTTTGATACCCGAGTCAAGCAAGTTACAAAACCTATCTGTTGTTGCAGTGAACGGATCTGCAGAATGATGCAAGGCTCTGCTGACTGCTAGCTATACTTATGTAACTCAATAGCTTCACAGCTGCTAATAATTAGCAGACGACCTGCGTAAGTGCTAGACAAATACAGGGAGATGGAAAAGGAGAACCCTGCTTCATCTCTTCAAAAACAAGCTAGCAGAATGGGAAAAGGGACTTTTAACAGATCTCCTATGATTCCCTTTCTTTTCTCCCAACAGAATTCAAACCCAGCATAATGAATTCAGCATAAATCTTATAACTGAAGATCTGAATGGCGCCTTGTTCGTAGCATTTGGATTTGAAACACAGATGCAGTTAACTCGCTGCTTAACGCCTTCTATCATACTCTAAAATGCCTATCTGCTTCTTCAGCTTCCACGTTAGAAAAACAAAACCAACAATCTTTCTTCAAGTGATTTATTTTTTTAAATGACGAGAGATTCAAACTTGAATTTGGCATACAGCTTGCTCTGCTCTCATCCTCTCTTAAAAATAAGAGATTAATTGTTATGCAGCAAACTGGGAATAACATCACTTTCTAAAAATGTCCTTTGCAGCTCTTGTCTTTATTTCATAAATTCTTTTCCAGACCTCATGTTCTCAGTGTTGCCTGAGAAAATTTAATTAATTATTAGAATAAAAATCCCTCTAAGTGACAGATTGAATATATATATATGTACACACACATATATGTTTTGGGGGCTTGCTATTCTGTTGAGTGATCTGAAAGCAGCTGCATAGGGCAAGAAGCCTTTCTGTTAAATATGACATCTTTTAGCTGCAATGGCACCAGCCGACTAGTCAGGAGACTTCTGATCCTTTCCCAGCACTATTACTGACCTGCTGCTATAAGACTTCAGGCAAAGCCATTTCCCCACACTGTGCTTCTCTGCTCACTGCTCTTAGAAGCCTTTAT